GAGTTGAGCGTCCCAGTTGAGGGTGACATGGAGGAGATTGTGTGAGGTAGAAATGAGAGCTTGTGGGCTGTCATGAAAACAGATTCAAACGTTTGCAGAGAACAGAGTGCACTGGAGACGTTCTACTAAAGCTTTATGTTCCACTAGGAACCCAAACGACAAATAATAATATAATAATAATGTCTTCAAGCAACTGAAGAGAATACTAATTCTGTAACTGCTGTTCTTTCTGCTTTATTGAAAGATTTGAATTCAGCATTTTGAATAACAAGTTTCTGTTCTCAGATAAAGTTAGTTCTAAAGTAACTATGAAACTAATTTGTGAGCATGATTAATGCATCAAATTTATCTTCAGAACGAACATCAACCTCATAAGCTACGATATCTGAGTCGTGTAAGGAAAAAGAAAACCACTAGGCAACTTCAAAGTATCCACTTGCTATGATTTTTTTCCCCTTGAGTTCCTAGTGGAACATACGGATTCAGTAGCAAGCCTCCATTCCACTCTGTTCTCTCCAGTCTTCTCAACCTGGCGCCACGACTATACACAAGCCCTCATTTGTTCTTCATATAATCTCCTCCGTGTCACCCTCAGAAAGGACACCCAACTCGTCGTTTCCTAACCGGGTTCCACTCGACGGCCTGATCTGGCTTGGCGTATGATATTCCCCATCGGTCTTCTCAGTGTATACCCAATCCATCTCCACTTTCCTCCACTGCATATTTATTGAGTGATAGGTTCTTGGCGCATTCGTCGCAAGGCCACAGTTCCTCCCTGCTTATTCTTATTATTCTGGTCATCTGATAGATCTTCAGTATCGAGCCACCGTAGGCGGCAAATTATGATGAATGTCTATAGTTTGTTGGAAATGCCTTTCGTAACGTGCCAACTTTCTCAACCGTCACATAGAAGCACTGACTTCACTGACATCGGTGTTGAAAATCTGAATGTTGTTCACGCTTTATGCTGAGTGTGGCGCAGATGATCTCCACACTGATTTCAGGTTATTCAATGCCTGTCTTGCTGTCTGTCTGATCGTGTCTGGCTTTGACATTCTCATGTGTGCCACCATCGTCGCCTGTAGTTTAAACTGTGCTGCCTGCCTAGTTGGTAGGTGAAAGAGACTACTTCCTTTAGGTTTTTTCCGTTAGTGCTGATTGGAATTGCTGTGATGATATACACATATTTACATTAACTTACACTTATTGCATGAAACTGGAGTAAATGTTTAACTAAACTCATTCACAGAAGGTGTAGAAAATCTTGACTTATAGACGAAACTTGTCATGGACAAGATAGAAGTATAAAAAATGTATTGTAAACTATTTTGAAAAACCAGCAGAATTGTAAATCTCGTTCATTGTACAAAACGTAAGATATAGCATAGAAATCTTGCCTTGCCATACAACTATGACCACCAGAATATCAGTGAAGCCTGAAAACAGCTAGTAGTGTAAAAAAAAAGAAAGTCACCTTTGTTCCTCTCATTTTGTGGCGTTTGTAATGGAGATTACTCTAGATCATATTCTTAAAGGACTTTCATTGATACTTAAGGACTATGAAAGTGGAATTTTGATAAGCAATATTTTAAAATGGAAGAATTATCACATTGAATCTTCAACTTCTAGTCATTTGCCTTTATTAGACAACCGGTTGACCAGTCCCTAATAGAAAGAAACGCACGTCCTGGTTCCCACTACCACCCACTCTTTATCGTTCGATTTATTATTACTATTATTATTTGTCCCTTGGGTTCCTGATCCAACATATGTCTTTAATGGCACGTCTCCATTTCACTCTGTTCTCTCTAGTCTCTTGAAGTTTGCTCCACGACTTCCCAGAAGGTTTCATTTCTTCCTCATATGATCTCCTCCATATCCTACAAAGACTTAGGTCTCTCTTCCTTGGGAGTTTGACAAGGTAGTCCTCCTTACAATCAATCGACAAGTATCTTTCATTCCTTCCTCCCTTCCTCCCTTACTTCAAAACCTTCTGCAATAGCGGTGTAAGCATGTCCACTGCTATTGTCTCTGTGTCTGTTTTCAGTGCTTCTGGAGGAATCTTATTTGATTCTGCTACTTTTCCAGCTTTCAGTAAGTTTATGGTGTCCAGGACTTCATAATATCTACTCCTTAACATAAATCCTCGTTAAAATATGTATTGTTTTGATAGTGTGGTGTTCTCTGATTTATATGGTTTATTCGTGAAGCGCATATACGTGAACGCAGTTAACCACTCTATCGATTCATATATATGTATATGTATTGTAGGAATGATGGAAAATTCTAGAATCAATTTGGAGGTTTCTGACCATGAACTTTGCTTAGCCACCTCTTTGTGTCCATTCTAGTACTGGTTACTCATTTAGACTGGTTTTGATCACTTAAATTGTAGTGTATTATATCACTTTCCATCTAAAAGAACTTCTATTGCCGTTTTTATCTTCGTGAATTTTGAAAATATCTGCAATAATGGTGTTACTGTTCGTCATAATGGCACAATGATTGAACAGCACTATTAAGCTAGGAAATGACAGGAATGTCCAACTGTATATTATGCAGTTGACTTCTAGAATTTTAACGTTAACTAGAACCTTTTCTTTCAGATATTTTTGTTAAATTCTGAGAGTATTCCCCAGGTCAACGCTGTTTTTGCCTATGTATTACAATATCTCCTTGTTATTAGCCTATACTTTGTTTGTTGTAAGCCAATACAACTTCAGAGATCCCTTTTCTTTGCTTGCTATAAGTTAACTAGGTTTGGTTATTAGGTTGTCCCACTTCGGACTTATTAACAGAATGTGCACAGATCTTAAGGAGTAGATGTGGTGTGGTTAAAACGGATACCTTCCTACACATGGCTGTTGTAGTAACTCTAACGTTTGCGGTAACGGGCGATGTGTTCAAGTTCTAGGAGGAACATTATAACTCGCTTGGATGCCGGTATGTTTATCTGTTGAATCTAAAATCTGACAATAAGCACACCGCAGATTTTATTGCTACTCCACCAGCAGCCAAATGAATTATTTTGTTCAGTAGGCTTACTAGTTTCTTCAAACCGATAAAGTTCTGCCTTTTAAATGCTAAATTTTTATGAAAACCATTTGTAATCCTCAGCGGCACAGACGAGGACGTCAAAGCCAGACAGGATCGGAAAGACAGCAAGACAGGCATTGACTAACCTGAAATCAGTGTGGAGATCTTCTGCACTGCACTCAGCATAAAGCGTGAACAACATTCGGATTCTCAACACCACTGTCAGTCAAGTTAATGCTTCTATGTGACGGTTGAGAGAGTTGGCGCGTCACGAAAGCACTTCCAACAAACTATACAGACACGCATCATGAAACAGCTGCCTACGGTGGCTCGATACTAAAAGTGAAAATCAGGTGGCCGGAAAAATAAGAATAAGCAAGAAGGAACTGTGGTCGGGCAACAAACCAACCAAGAACCTATCACTCAACAAATATGCAGTGGAAGAAAGTGGAGATGGAGTGGATTGGGTATGCACTGAGAGGATCATTCAGGGACATCGAGTCAGGCCAGGTTGTCAAGAGGAACCCAGATGGGAAATGTCGAGTTGGGCGTCCGAGGCGACGGTGATATGGAGGAGATGGTGTGAAGAAGAAATAAAAGCTTGTGGGCAGTCGTGGAGCCAGGTTCAAAACATTCCAGAGAACAGAGTGGAATGGAGGCTTGCTACTGAATCTGTATGTTCCAGTTGGAACCCAGTGGTTAAATAATAATAATAATCCCCGGTGAGGTCATGGTTGCGTTCTTCCGTCCAGTGTCCTCAGGTGTCCGATGTTTCGCCGACTGATATCAGTCAATAATAAATACAAACCTTAAATCAATCAACCAACCCTCAACAAACCCCTAAATGGATCATTTTAATGGTGATTTGTGACTTGCCTCGATAGATGACTCGTGAAGTTGTAATGATCAGTCATGACCATTAGGGCCAAGGAAGTCGGATATGAGGACAAATACTCAAGGATAGCATTGAACAGAAGTCGTACTATATCATGAATTGACACAAGAACGAAATGTGAACGACTGGATTCCAATCAAATGACTCAATGGTAACATACTGGTCACAGAACCTGAACGTCCTGGGCTCAATCCCTGGTGGGGTAGGATTGTGGCTGCGTAATCCTAAGTAGTCCCATACTAAGGAGAAACATCTGTTCAGTATTTATGTCATTTCATGATGAATACAAACCTGTCTTAGCAATGTTACTTTGAAATAATGGAGAATATTTGTAGCTCAATGGGATGGTCTTGGTTATATTGTGTTCTCTGAGCTGGCTGGGTTGTTTAGTCATGAAGAAGCTTTCATCGTCTTTCTAGACAATAACATCATCAGCACTAACTTCAGGATGAAGTGAGTGAACTGTCAATATCTCTCCATGAGTGAGTGATTTAGTAGCTCACCCTGACCAAATGGTTTGTGATTAGTTGTTTCCTTCGATTGTTGTGTCACTGACTGATTGTATAAACTTTCCTGTTGGATGTTCTTTTGCTTCACCTTTGGCCTTCCTGTTGTTCATCATTTTTCTTATTGGTTGATTGGGTCTATGTCTATACATCTGTTGATTGCTGACTGACTGATCTGAATGCCGTCAAGCTTCTAGGGATTTTCTGATATTCTTTGTGTTTCCTATGTTCAAAATTTCTACACTATCGAAATTGTATTCATGTTCATAGTCTTGTCCACATGCATTGAAATAAGTGACGAAATGTCATGGCATTTAATAGCCAATTAGTGTTTATGTAGACGAAGGTGAAGAGGGCAGCCACCTTGTCCAATATAGTGTTGACTACAGTCAGTTATTGTAGTTGATTTTGTAAATGATATTCGTCTAGCAAGGCAATGAAAGCTTCACAATTAAACAATCTAACTCAGAGAATACAATATAACCAAGAATGTTACTTTGTTTCAGTCTTTTTCTTACACTACACTCTGGTTAATACATTAGATATCATATATGTTTACTTACTGCATAGTTCAGATATTGGTTGTTCTTCTATACTATCCTCTGGCTTCTGATCAACTATATTATTATTATTACTATTAGTATAATTATCATTGTTTTTATTATCATCTAACTTTGAATATTGGATACATTCATTGACTGTTAATCTACTTTGTATGTTTTCAATATTCATTCGACTAATTTCATTTAACTGTTTCTGATCATTACTATGTTGCTGTTTATCTATCTGTAGTTGAGTTGATACATTCAAGAGGAAAGGAATTACATCATTGATAATTATTTGATCTGATAAACGTGTTAACACTGAAACTAGACAGAGTAATGCAGCTAGCTAGAAAAAAAGTAGAAAAAAAAAAGACAAAATTAAAAAACCAAATTATCATGAAAAATATTTCATGTTTTTATTAGTAAACATCTCAGTTGAATATATATATATATATATATATATATATATATATATATATATATATATATATATAAAATTCTACTTAGGTAGCGCAGTTATATAGCTGAGAAAAGGATAATGGGAAAGTCCCCTTGAAGTTGATCGATATGCATTTATGATAAAATATTTTTCAGATATTTTGAAAAAAAAACTGTAGAAAAATAGCATTATGAATTTAGTATAATTATTATTATTATTATTATAAATAGTCCAAAACGGTCTCGGGTACAAAAACATACCGTACTGTAAAAACTCGTTAAACAAATATGATTGTTAAGTACCTGAGAGTCAATAAGAATATTCCCTACAAAAATGGATCAAACCTCTGTCTATCAGAATGAAATCAATAAATAAATGTTTCCAGTAGACAGTTAAATCACAGCACAACTATAAGTTGAACTAAAACAAAATGTTGTGTACAGTAAAACAACATCATATTGTCAACAGATTCAACTTCACATAATAGGAAAGTGAAACATTCATGATGAGTCTGATGATTCTTATACAAAGGCAAATACTGAGTACAAAGTCAACAGAAGACAGTCAAATAAACTAAATAACATTTCACTGGCTAGGGTTAAACGTACACCATCCATAAGGAGGGTAAAAATATTCAACTAAATGTCAATATTATGAAATAAGGTGATTACAAGGGAGTTTCAGATCAATTTTCCGTTACAACCAGCAAAATGAACCAATTAGGTCTGTGTTCCGGCAAGAATAGTTATTTTTCAGAAAATTAAGAAATATCATTGGTTATTTCAGTAGCCATTAAGGTACAATACTTTGAATTTAAGGCATGTAGTAAATAGTCTTTACCCCTTACGATGATTATTTTCCTATATTGACACCTGATTGAACAATTAACAGTTACTAAGGTGGTTATAAGGATCACACTTTCATTAGTATTTGGTAAATACGATGTCTTCACGAATGAAGAAACAGTCCATCTCAACTTCCTTCTAATCATATCTGCTAGTGAGTATCAGAGTCAAAAATACATCGGTATCCTTCACCTTATACAGTCGTACTTATCTAGTAACAATGATACCTAATTGAATTTTATAACTATAACTGGGATATTTAGAGACAGAAGTTGAACAAATATCAACCATTCACACTGATTCAATAATAACGGCTATCGTATAAGATCTGTTATTTCCTAAAAGTTTACTTTGTAAGATCTACTTATTTTTTATTAGTATTATTATTTGTCCCTTAGGTTCCTAGCAGGACACAGTGCTTCAGTTTGCACGTCTAGGTTTCGCTCTCTTCAATGCAGTCTGGCTCCACCTGTCTCCACCACTGCCCAAAAGTTTCCATTTCTTCCTCACACCATCACCTACATGTCACCCTCGACTCGGACTCCCAACTCATCATTTCCCATTTGACTGCCACTCGACGGCCTAACCTGGCTTGATGCGTGATGTACACAAAACAATCTTCTCAGTCTATATCCAGTTCAATCCATCCCCACTTTTTTCGGCATATCTGCTGGGCGATAGATTCGTTGCTAGCCAGCCAGCCAGCCAGCCAGCCAGCCAGCCAGCCAGCCAGCCAGCCAGCCAGCCAGCCAGCCAGCCAGCCAGCCAGCCAGCCAGCCAGCCAGCCAGCCAGCCAGCCAGCCAGCCAGCCAGCCAGCCAGCCAGCCAGCCAGCCAGCCACACTGAGTTCCTCCCTCCTTATTCTTATCATTCTGTCCATCTCATCTCCAACTTCAGTGTCAGAATCAAGCAAGTGTAGGTGCAAGTGTAAGTGTAGGTGTAGGTGGCAGCGGTAGATAACGTATGTCTGCAGATTCTTGGAAATACTTTTCATAACCCGCCTAGTCTCTCAACAATCATGTAGAAGTACTGACTTGACTGGCACTGGTGTTGAAAATGTAGTTGAAACGATGCTGACTAGGTGGTAGGTGGAAGAGAGTACTCACTTCAGATTTCTATCGTTGATGGTGATCGGTGCTTGTTGGTTCGGTATCTTCATCACCTCTGTCTTCTCTACGTTCACCTGAACGAAGTCCCATCTTCCATCCCTGTCCCACCTCGCCTCATCTCGCCTCACCTCAACTCTTCTGTCAACTTGTTGCTTTTCGCCTGCAGATCTTCGAGTTTGTGCAACATAAGACACTGCACATAAATCATCATCGGTGGCAAAATCCAAATCTTCTTCTTCAGTTATTTCGTCTGTTCATTCAGTGTGTGCCCATCTTCTCCCTCCTCATGGTTTCTTGCATGATCCTGTCCACTCCACTCCACTCCAGTCCATTTCACTTCAGTCGATCACAATCAGAAAGATCATTGGTGATAGTAGGCGGATATCTTGTCTTACTGCTGTCCCCTTTCTTCACTGTCTTCACTTCAAAGACATCACTGAGCTTTCCATTGTGAATCACTTGGCATGCAGCATCATATAGTATACAGCTTTTGTTGAGTGTTGTTAATAAGGGTGTGTGGTAGTGAAACGGTGGTGTTGAGGCAGCTGCCTGCCAAATTACTTGTTGTTGGAGGCTGTCGAAGGCTTTTTCAAAATCGATGAATTTGATGTAGAGTTGAGTTGACTGACATTGTATACTCTCTTCAATGATGATACGTAGCATAGCGCTGCAATTTGATCCACACATGATTTGTTTATTTTGAAGCCAACAGCCTGTTCCAGTTGTAATTTTGAATCCAGCGGATTGTTTGATCTCTCCAGGATGATGTGGCTTAATATTTTGTTTGTGGTGGACAGGGGTGTGGCGTGGTTCATTACCAGTTCTTGCAAAGGCTTAGGTCTGTCTTCCTTGGGAGTTCGATAAGATAGTCCTGCTTACAATCAATCGACAAGTATCTTTCCTCCCTTCCTTAGAAACCTTCTGCAATAGTGGTGTGAGCATGTCCACTGCTATTGTCTCTATGTCTGTTTTCAGTGCTTCTGGAGGAATCCCATTTGATTCTGCTACTTTTCCAGCTTTCAGTAAGTTTATGGTGTCCAGGACTTCATAATATCTACTCCTTAACATAAATCCTCGTTAAAATATGTATTGTTTTGATAGTGTGGTGTTCTCTGATTTATATGGTTTATTCGTGAAGCTTTCCTTTTTCCACTTATGACAGAATCAACAACACAGGAGTGTCTGACTAGTTTGTTCTGACTAACCTGTGTGTAGTTCATTGTTACTGCTGAAACCTTGTCACTAGTCGTAAATGAATTTCTATGGGATATCCTGCTAACGGTAAGTTTGACCTTCTTATAGTTCTTCATTCGTCTTGTTGATTGACAGACTCGGTCAATATATGTGTTGTTTATGGTGTTGCAGTCTCACAGCTAGAGTTTTTAATCTTAGAGCTTTAGTTTTCATTCTATACACCATCATAAGCACAAGCATAAGCACCAAGTGAAAGGTAAGGTTTTCTCCGCATTTTATTCAACAAATTGTCTTGATCGCCTTATGGGTATATGATTAATTTTTGCTATCAAGGTCTTGTCGGTATCTACGCCTTTAATTGGTTGTTGTGCTGACATAAATTTTGACCTTCTTATTGTTTCTTATTGGCTGATAGATTGGGTTAGAGTTGATATGTCTGTTGATTGCTGACTAACCTTAACATCAAGCTTCTAAAAATTCTCTGGCATTCTTTGTATTTCCTCTATCCGTGCAGGATTTCCAGATTTTCCTAGTCAAATTGGTGTCCATGGTTTTCCATATGCATGAGCGAAGATATGTCATGACGCTTCACAGCTAGTTCACTGCAAGTCATTGGCTAGGACAATATGAATTACGTTGGGAGAAGGCTCATGGTGGCCAGACGAAGAAATAGCATGAATCGATGAAGTCTCTGAATGTTGGTTTGAGCTGTGCGATGAGATGCTAACTGCCTACATAGGGTTCTCGAGATTTTAGGAACCAATGAGTTGGGAACACTTGGTGACATGGTTGGAAATTGGTCACAATGGTGCAGATTTATTTACTCCTTGGCATCTTCTAAAGCTTGAATATTGGCATTATCCGTGATCTTCAAAGTGTTGATTCTCTCACACAAGTTTTTCTGCTTCGATAACACTATTTTTCTATCCATGTGCTCTGTGTATATTACAATGAAGTGTGGCAACTTGAAGCGATGCACTTGTATGTGAGGTTTGATGTTGTCTTTCTGTCTGATATTGAAACCACATGAAAATGAGAAACACCTTGTGAAGATTTGCATCATAAAAAGGAAATGAGTCATTTAACCAATAGAGGACTGATTCCATATTGGATTTGTCCACTGGATATATAACACAGTCATACGGCATTATTTACTTGATGACGTTTCGAGCGCGACTTATTGCTCATAATGATTAGTTTCGATGTAACAAGTCTTCACACTAAAATATCAATCAATATAGCACTGAAGGTAGACTGAAATCAACCATGTATTGACTCACAACTTAATCAGAGAAGTAAACTATCGGTTGATGAAACAATATTAGGCATACAGTTATGCTTGACCTCCACAATCTTCAAGTTTCAAGACAAAATACATAGACAATGGGATCGCGAATATCCTCAATCGTAGTAGACATATGGATGGATAGTTGGGAAGACATGGCTTTACAAACGTGTAGTCCTACACCTGAGATATAGTGTCGATATTTGGATGACATATTCACTGTGATGAAATGGGAACATGTCGGCAGTTTCCTCACATGCATAAGCTCAGTAGTAGGTGTATTCCAATTCACTTATGAGGTAGAAAATGAAGAAGGCGAATAATCTGTGTTGGATTACAGGATGAAGAGAGGGAGAGACGGTGGTTTGGACACCATCGTTTACAAGAAACCGACTCATTCCAACAGGTATCCGGTCTTCAGTTCATGTAATCCAATGTCAGTTGATGTGGGTTTAGTCAGATGTCTAAATGATA